ACTGTACAGCAGTATTAGGAACATTAAATTCATATTGATTCTGCTATTCCAATTCATATCATTGGTTTAGCACAGTGGTTCTTAAAGTATGGGTCGCGGAAGGTTTAAAAATGGGTCGCGACAGGGTCGTCAATGCAAGGGCAATCTAAGAGGAGAAGGAAGAATTTTTAGCTTTCCCAATGTTTCAATTTAGCTTTTAAACTCTGGTATTTAAAAATAATGAAATATAAAATTTCATTCACGGAAAGAACTGTCTTGAGCTCATTGTTACATCACAATTCTGATATGCCAGTCACGTGTATTATTTTTATGGTATCGGTAACCATGCACGCCGCTTGTCGTTGTGTTGACCGCGTGGAATGTCGTCTTAGTGGATTAAAATAACCAAAAATGGGTGTTTTTTGGTAATGTAAATTGTAATAGACGACGCAATGAAAAAGCTCGCTTCTCGACATTAGATTATTCAATATCTAGAGAAAATGTGACTTCATCTCGAGGCACCATTTACCGCGAACGAAGCAGTGTGTGCACATTCAACATTTGATGAGTAAAAAGTTGTATATTGCGAGAGATACCGAAGGCCAGCTAGGATGTCGTGTTTGCGTCGGACAGCGGACGCCTTTTCTGCTACAATTCCGACAAGGCACTTGTGCGAGCGAGGATATTTGGCACTGACGGTTATCAAAACTAAGCTCGCAATCGCCTCGATACCCGTGACAACTTGCGTATTGCGTTAAGTAAAATAGAGCTGTGTATTGAAGATATAATGAAAAGAAAATTTCAGTTTCATCAATCTCACTGAGTCAATGGACTGTTTCTAATAAATAGTTTTCTGTATTTGAGTCAAACTGTACTAACATTAAAAACACATTTTGCGTTAGGATTGGGTCGCGAGTATTCATAAAACTCAGATTTGGGTCGCGCTCGAAAAAGTTTAAGAACCACTGGTTTAGCATGATCCAGACTCCTCCATTTGTCATTTTGTAAAAAGAGAGTTTATTATTATTTTTCAGTCAAAAAAGTAATAAATTACCTATTTTGATATAGATTGGGGATGGCAATACTCAGAGGATCATCCTAATCAGACGCCATACATTCCAGCCAAAAAAGTAAAGATTAAAAAATGGTAACATCAATTAGTTAACTGTCAAGCATATTAAAGCAAAGTAAACTTTATTTGCATAATAATGTAAAAGTTATAAGTGAAAAGCTTGGTAAATACTGAAATAGTAGAACATTGGTAAAAGTTGATGTCATTTCGGTCCACGATTGTTTCAGACCAGAACTTTTGGTCTGTGTAGGTTCTAGTATACGTTTATCAACGATGCATGATGAACTGAAAACACTGCTTGGTTATGAAGTATTGAAAAATATTACAATATCGCACACGTTCATATAAATCATAGTTATCATGGCAGTACGAAGTGGTGTGTTTCAAGGGTTTTATGGTGTTGTGTAGTTGTACCGGTACCACAATAACTTCTAGTGGGCATTGAGCATATGTTATCCTGACCCAAAAATTATGTCACTACGACACCACAGTGATGTAATAAAGCTTGCAAAGTCATTATCGTAAGCGCTATATGCTATTTCTGGCGATCGTAGCTATACTTTGGCAGGACCTCCTGAAGTATGCGCACCAAGATGGCGCACAACCTGGACTCAGGTTGTGTACCAGGTTAGGGTTCAAGTTGTGCGACATCTTGGTGCGCATACTTCAGGAGTACCCTTTGACAAGCTATATGACGTTGTAGTGATATATTTTTTGGATAACTTAGTCAGGTGGGGGTTAGCAGTACAGCACACTATCCAAATCCCAAGAATTTCCCTCCATTTGACTCAATAAAACAAACAGTCTCACAAACGAGGGGTGTCTGGGACTACGTCAGATGCTTCATATTGGGCCATGCTTGTCTCAATAATAATATAAATTAATCGCGGCCGTCACATGACCAAAAGCTACGGTAAAAAAATTTTCCTTCGGTAAATCAGATTATTTTTTCCCAAGGAATTCAATGATGACGTTACTAGATTGCGCTTTTTTGTAGTAATTTGCGCAACTTCATTTTACTGTATTATTACCGATATGGAGGGACACCATATGTCCCAGACATCTCCCAAAGGAGGTGTGTCTGATCATCTGTAAAATGGGTTTCTCTGAAACGGGACAATGTCACCCGATTTGTATAGTGTGCCGATTTGTATAGTGTGCTGTACTGGTTAGGAATAACATATGCAAAAATGGTTATGCCAAGCCCACTACTAGAAGTACTTGTGGTGCTAAACTACAGTAGACACAGGTTTTATACTGATTGTACCATAGAGAGAGAGAGAGAGAGATTCATTGTTTTGTCAACCAGAAAACAAACGAAAAAATATATACAATATACACAAAGTCAATTCGGTATAGACTGGAGGAAGCGATACGACCATAAGGTCATCAGAGTCACCCCCAAGTTCACTGTTAAGATTCACAGTTAAACGTATGTACTGTATGCAAATAAGGAATGAATAAAAAAACTCCTAGTTGTAGTTGTAAGTCGAACCATATGTCTGTATGTACATATGTGTGTTTGCTCGGGAACTTTCTGACTTTAAATTTTGGTTGTGATGATGAAAATCCTTAACTAAATGGAAATAATAAATAACGAAGTACATCACTTTTATTAACGGAGTGATTCTTCTATCGTGTTGCATATTGTTTATAATCGTGACTCCACACTCCATCTTACATGGGCCGAAACATCTGTTAGTGAGATCTCTCGTTGACTGGTCAAAGGAATCTCTCTAATCGAGTCCAGCTCTAACAAACTGCTTTTTGTCACCTCCTCATTTATGGGAGTTCAATTGAGGCCAAGCCATCAGATACTCATTTTAAAGTATTTTCACACCTTCATTGTGCCTTTGTGTAGTGGCATTGAGTGTCAGGATACTGTAGCAAGAATCAAAACTATTATAATTATTGAGAAGTTTGAAAGCTTTTCCAAGATTAAATTCAATATGAGTTCAACTAAATTTATTTAGAGTACTGCATTCAAAATCGAAATCAGACAAGATGAAATTTTTGAATAGCAATCTATTGAGATACTATATTATACACGAGCAAATCCTTGATCGTGGTTCACCATATGACTGACCGTATCTGGTTTGAAACCTCAGCTGAGTTCAGGACAGCATTTTCAAATTTTACGTTGAGGCCTCAATAGTAAATTATTGGAAACGAAGTACATATGGATCGTTTCATGTTGTTGTTGTTATGGAAAAATAGTCCTTTTTTCATTCACTAATGGACCAATTGCTTTTTAATTTTCAATGGTTGAAGATTGTATTTTTCACTAGAAGGCTATTAATTTTATATTTATTCCAATATTTATATGAATCATATGTATGAGATCTGATATTTCAACCAAACTTCGCTATATTTTTATTTTTCGCTGGAATATGGTTTTTATTCTGCCAAGAGTGACCCGAGGGAGAGTAAAGGCGATAAGACAGCTTATTGAACACATGGCAAATCACGACCTCTCGTCCGGTACTTTGTTTTGGACTCCATGTCATATATTTAAGCATCTCTCATTCTCTCTCTTGTTTAATATTGGCCTCCAATACATGGTAGTTTCACCATAAGATGGCTCACCTCTCACAGTATAAATGTCAAAATTCCTAATCAGCATTGGATAGGATAGGGTTTACATATTTATCCCGGGGGAGAGGAATGACGATAAGACGGCTTAACCATATGGCGAACCACGGCCTCTCGTCCGGTTACCAGTCTATTTCCAGTATGGGATTAGTTAGTTAGTTATTTGTTTTCAGAAGCATGGACTTGATGGTGGAGGAAGCCATAACTGACCAGCGGTTACGTGAACCACCCTACGCGGCGAAG